CAGGCCATGATTGACACTGTGCAATGAACAGTGCTGGGCTGGGGCTGTACTGCATAGGGGAGTATGTTGGATATGAGGGCTGTATTGGGTAGGAGGCTGTGTTAGATAAGGGCCTGTGTTGGGTAAGGGGCTGTGTTGTGTAGAGGCCTGGGCTGGATAAGGGCCTGTGTTGTGTAGTGGTCTATGCTGGGTCAGGGCCTGTGTTGTGTAGAGGCCTGTGCTGGGTAAGGACCTGTATTGTGTAGAGGCCTATGTTGGGTAAGGGGCTATGTTGTGTAAAGGCCTGTGTTGGGTAAGGGCCCGTGTTGTGTAGTGGTCTATGTTGTGTCAGGGCCTGTGTTGTGTAGAGGCCTGTGCTGGATAAGAGCCTGTATTGTGTAGAGGCCTGGGTTGGGTAAGGGTCTGTGTTGTGTAGAGGCCTGAGTTGGTAAGAGCCTGTGTTGGTAGAAGGATGGGTTGGGTAAGGGCCATTGTGGTATAAAGGCCTGGGTTGGTATGAGCCTGTGTTGGTAAAGGCCTGTGGTGTGTAGTGGCCTATGTTGAGTAAGAGCCTGTGTTGTGTAGAGGCCTAGGTTGGTAAGAGCCTGTGTTCGTAGAGGGCTGTGTTGGGTAAGGGCCAGTGTGGTGTAAAGGCCTGGGTTGGTAAGAGCCTGTGTTGGTAGAGGGCTGTGTTGGGTAAAGGCCTGTGTTGTGTAGTGGCCTACGTTGAGTAAGAGCCTATGTTGTGTAGAGGCCTGGGTTGGTAAGAGCCTGTGTTAGTAGAGGACTGTGTTGGGTAAGAGCCTGTGTTGTGTAAAGGCCTGGGTTGGTAAGAGCCTGTGTTGGTAGAGGGTTATGTTGGGTAATGGCCTGTGTTGTGTAGTGGCCTATGTTGACTAATAGCCTGTGTTGTGTAGAGGACTGTGCTGGGTAAGGGCCTGTGTTGTGTGGTAGCCTATGTTGAATAAGGGCCTGTGTTGTGTAGAGGACTGTGTTGGGCTGGGGACTGTGGTGGAAAAGGATTGCAAACTGTAATGGAAAATTTCCACTGCAGCCGAACCTGCCTTCTTACCGTACCTCGTAAGGAAGATGCTATTACATAAAAGCAGGATCGGCAGGTGCAAGAGCGTGTAGGTCAGGGCTGTGCTGTAAGGTGCGCACCCACCCTCAGTACTGCACCACGCTTCACTGCACCCATGATTAAACCCAGAGGCACTTAATACCACCAGCTGAACAGGGGCTCCTGAAAACAACCAGTCGGACGTGCTCAAATTCGGCAGAAATGGCAAGAAAAGAAAAACGCAGGTAGAGAATCTCCAGCAGTGAAACAGAAACAGCTGATCAGCATGTCTGTTTACACACAATCTGGGATATGCAACCAGCCAAATACAACTTTAACAATATGAATAGCCAAACAAAGGATCAGCACAGGGCAGCAGTCACATGACCCTTGGTGCACAATGGACACTAAAGCACCACCACTGAAGCCAGACCTTGGGGACAAAAGGTCCAAAAATAATCGACCACAAACCCAACACTGAACTGCAGTCAGAATAAAGTTCTTCACAAAAACCCAGCCACAAAAACAACCCCAGGAAATAGGAATGCCAAAGCGAAAATGCGATCAGACGGGGTGTAAAATGTCAGACAGCAACACGCCTCAGCTGCCTGCGTGTTTCCCCATGAGACCCGCCTTGCAGCTGAGGAATCCACACAAATCAGATCGAAGGGGACCTGGAGGTTCTCAATCCCAGCCACACTCCCGTGAGCCCCGTATTCCTCAGGGACAAAGTCCACAGAGCTCTCCAGACCAAACCCTTGAGACAGTGATATTACACATACTGAGACAGTCAGATAATAAAGCCATATATCCAACTGCATCACACAGGCAAAACAAAATGCTTGTTGTAAACCCGGCTTGCAGCTCCACGGTACTCTGGCTCTGATTCAAGACATTTTTTTTCTCCTTATCAGGTTTAAAAAATCGGAATTGAAACTCCTACATGGATGAAAGCATCGTTTTGCCTTGGACTTGGAATTGCCTATTTCAATTCACACTGGCATGAGACCAGGGCTGGCTCTTGCTATTGGCAGAATAGGCAGTTGCCTAATGTACCTTCTCCCCCCAACAATAATGTGCATTAAGGAGGAAGCGAAATGATCATTAATGTTGTTGGTATGGGGGCCTCCCAAGTAGAGCTTGGTCTAAGGGCCCATGAAAAGGTGCTGCTGACCCCGGGTGAGATTCCGCAGTGAAGCCCTGAGAGACAGACTCTCCTGTGGCTTCAGGTAGACTCACCTGTGCTTGAGGTGGGCCTCGAGCTCGCTCCTGGCCATGGTCTCCTTGCAGTGTTCTGGGAAGGGACAGGCCACCACCAGCTTGTCCAGGAGCTTGTAAACCAGCAGGCTAGACTTGTGACAGGCCTGCAGCAGTAGAGGTTGCCGGTCTACAGGGCAGAAGTCCTTCTCCAGCAAGAAGCTGGTCAAACACTCTGTGCAGAAGGTGTGTCCACAGGGTGTGTCCAAGGGCACACACAGTGGCTGAAGGCAAATATGGCAGACCAGGTCATCATCCACCTCCTCCTCATAGTGGTACTCATGGTTCTCATCCAGAAGGTGTCTCTGGCCACAGGTGTAGCACAGGTTTGGGGTTTCGACATCTGCCCCCTGTCCCATCACCTCCTGGCTCATTGTCCGGACTGGGTAAGGTCACCAAGGTGAAGTGGAAGGGAGGGAGGGGGGGTCAGAGTTGAAATCAAATATGTGAGGATGGAAGGCCCTTACATGACTGCATTAGTGGCTGATCTGTGGGACAGCAGGAGGAAAACAGCAGATGTAATGGGGGTTCAGAAGCTGGACCTACAGAGTCCTTCAAAGTGAGGGCAGTTATACCCTTAAACAGTTCATTCATTTACCTGACACTTTTATCCAAAGTGACTTACAGTTGAGGGAAGGATACAATTTTTATTGTAACCTTTGCATTGTAACTGTGATGCTTTAGTTGAGTTACAGGAGCACAAGGTGAACATGCCAATTAATTTAGAATTCACTAAATACCCAGGTATCTGAAACGTAAGCAATGCTATTAAACCCTAATATTTTGATTAAATGTTTATGATGAATACATTAATATAGCAGCCTTGGGGTGATTTACCATGGTGATCACTGTATCTGACTGTTAGCATTAGGGTTTAGTGGTCAGGCATCACAAGATAGTTCATGTTTATGTCGACAAATTCAGCTGCTAAAAATTCACCACACTGCAAACCTCACGGACACACAGATGTGTCCCATAAAGACAAAGAGATGCATTAGGGTATGATAACAAAGAATGGACTTTAGCTTATCCTGCTGACATTTTCCGCAGTGTCTTTTTTAAGGAATGGGTCTTCAGCAGGAGATCCTGTGCAGCGTACGTTTGTTTTGTATTGTAGACATGGACGCACACGTATACAAAGCGGCAGACCACCGGAAAGGAAGACACACCTGGTGTGTATCTTATCACTAGCGATCGTCCGAAGGCGAATGTCAGCCTATCCAGCTAGCCAGTGTGTCAGACCCACATAAAGACACACGGCAGAATTCTAGCCAGAATCCTCCGTGATTCCCACACCGATGGGTGGGCTGGGTAACAATCGAAGACTTTCCCCCCTACGTATCTGATGTAATGGAGGACCAGGTCAGAATAAACTGCTCCCATCTGTGCCTCAGAGGTTTGGTGGGCGGGGTTATACCATGGAAATCCTGCCGCATGGAAATAAACCTGCCAAATTCCAGTTATACCGTAACCCTGAGACACACCCTGATAAAAGTTTTCTGGAACCGAGATCCCAGCCAACAGACATGAATCAGCCACTGACACTAATGGCATAAACAAACCTAAACGAAATCATCAGTTCTCTGACGCTACTGACAAGGACAGACATAAGCTTGGCAAATAACTCCGCGTCTCTGTCTGTGATTTTATCCTTTTGGTATCAGTTAATAAAGTGGTTGTTTGTTGGCTGACCTCTCCTGAATGAATACCCCCCCCCCCCGAAGAAAGTCACCTCTAGTAAGACTCCCCCCGGGCCCCCCCGGGTAACACTGTCAGGTGGCAGGACCTCTCTGTACAGCCACCGGTCAACATGCTAGCACACATTAGCATACTTCACATACCGCATCAGAAGCACGTCCTTGATACTTTACAAACTCTGGGGCTTGGATGTTATTAAACAGCAGCACCGAGCCCTTGGAAAGCGTAATATGACACAGAATGTAATTATGGTTTTTAATTCTGCTGGATACCACTGAAACTAAGCAAGAAAATAAGCATGACTCCTCAACTGTGTGTATATGTGAGAGTGTGTTTTAGGTCATGCATGTTCTGCATGTTGGACGGCCACTGCTGTATCTGGAAGCGGACGGCATGTACACATCATGTATGTTCTACCTGAGACTTTGCAATTTTGTTATAGCTTCACATTACAGATCTTCAGATGCCGAATCTTTGGGCCCCGTTTTCTTCAACCCAACACCATTAGCACCGGAATCACAAAAACTAGAAGATGCATAAAGCTCCTCGAAGCTAAAGCCTCCTTTACTGTAGGCAGCAGAGATGCCAGGGTGTTTGCTCACATCCTGGCTGAAGAGCATCAGAAGGTGATGCCCTGGTGGAATGGCAAGGCTGGACAGAACCACCAAAAGAGCTGTGAGCCGTGTGGAACAAATAGAACAACACAGAAGTACACTGGGTCACAGAAGTTCAGAACCAGAGACTCGGGACCACAGAGAACAATAGAGAGATAGAGTAGCACAGAACCAAAAGAGAACCGCACAGAAGAAAAGAGGTACCGGATCACATAGAACCCTCACCACAAAGTTTTGCAAATACCCAAAGAAGCTGCAGGGGTCAGGATTCAGAACCCGTTCCACCAATTTCCTGGTTCAGATTTCCACTCCATTTAAATCCTTCCTTGTTGCTGAAACCAAGGAGAGTTGACCTTCTCTGGTGTTAAAGTAACTTTTTGCAATGGCCGTCACTTTATACCACCCGCTGACTAGACAGAATCACAATAATCCTTTCCAAATGTCACTTTCTGACACGTAAAGCGCCACAGAGAAGGAATGGAGCTCCAGATCCAAGTGGAAACTTCCAGTGAGTTTTGAAGGAAGGCAAGTTATGGAAAACTTCCCAGGAAAATGAGCGGTGTCTGCCTCGACTTGCGCTGCACCGACGTTATTCTACCATGCAGGTATGTAGCGTACAGCTACAAAGGAGTCTCTCCTGAGAAGTTAAGTCTGTGCTGCATGCCAGCTCAACAATCAGGTACAGCACACTGTCGAGTCCTATTTTACCTGGTTTTCAGAAAAACGGTGCTCCAGGCACAAAACTTACCAGTTGTACTGTGTTCAGCTGTTGTTTTTACCCGGGGAGGGGGCGGGGGGATAGGGGGTCACCTGAGCACACACTACCTGGCAGAGGTGTAATCCAAGAATCCAATGCACAGGAAGGGCAGAGAAAGTGAGCAAATCCTTGGGGAACTTTGTCCTTTTCATCGGTGCCACTGATTGGCTAGTGGGGTTGAGTATGCAAATGATGAGATTTTTTTTTCTTGTTTCAAAAGGTAGGACTGTGTGGTAGAGAGACAGACAGCAAGCTTAGGTGGAGAGAGAGAGAGAGAGAGAAAGAGAGAGAGAGAGTGATGGTCAACAAAGCAGCATTGGTTGATGACGCTGGCCCCAACAAGCGCCAATCACCTGAGAGCTGGAGAATTCTGGGACATGTCTTATCGCCACAAGTGCCCAAACCAGTTTTAGGTAAGAACTGGTTGCAGACAAAGAGAGCAGTTTCTAAGGAAATGCAGCAACTACGATGTGTGACGGGACCTTGTAAGAGCAGACGACCTCAGGCATTACTCAGGCATCCAGCTTTTCTTCTGATTCATTATCTATGACTTTGCGTTAATTCACGATTTCCTTCTGTCATGTGATTGGTGGTAATAACAACAAGGAGAAGATACTGAGACAAGTGAGACAGAAGGTGACATGTGTCCTTCACCTCTTGGCTGCCAGGGCAAGAGCTGTTTTTGGTGACAAATTGGGACATAGACCGAAATGGTGCAAAAGCAGCAGCAATGGAATGAAGCTTTATTTGCCATTTGTACAAGTGTGTGATCAGGTACATTGGTATGTGTTAGTCTTCACGTATCCCATCATGCTCTCCTGTTTAAGATATACACACACATACAGAGGGGAGAGCGAAGGTTAGGGTCTGATAGCAGGGTCAGTCCATTCAGGGCCCCTGGAGCATTTTTCAGGGAATTAAGGACCTTGAGATGTGGCTATTCTGCTGAGCATGGAACTCAAATCAGCATCCCCCTGATCACAGGCATACAGCTCTAACCCACAAGTAGATATATTTCATCTACTGAGGTAGGTGGACTTATCTGGGTCATTATTGCAGCCAAAGATGCTATTACTAATTTGGCATTAGCATGTATAACACAATCCCTAACTGTTCTTGATGCAGTCCCTAACATAGCCCCTAACACAGTGCTGAGCACTGTCCCTAATGGCCCCTCACGCAGTCCCTGACAGAGTTCCTAGCACTGTGCTGAACACAGTCCCTAATGGTCCATGACACAGTCCCTGATTCAGCCCCTAACATGATCCCTGATACAGTTCCTAACACAGTCCATGATACAGTCCCTAACACAGTCCCCAAAGCAGTTCCTGACACAGTCCCTGATGCACTCCCTAACACAGTCCCAAATACAATCCCTAACACATTCTCTGACACAGTTCCTGATACAGTCCCTAACACAGTCCTTGATGCAGTCCCTAACACAGTCCCATCCCTGATACAGTCCCTAACACAGTGTTTAACACAGTCTCTGATACAGTTTCTGATGCAGTCCATAATACAACACAGGCCCAAACAGTCCTTGACACAGTTTCTAACACAATCTCTGATACATTCCCTAACAGTCCCAGATACAGTCCCTTAAAATGTCCCCAAGAGTCCCTAATACAGTTCTTGATGCAGCCTGTAACACAGTCCCTGTGACAGTCCCTGATACTGTCTGTAACACAGTCCCTAACACAGTCCTTAACAGAGTCCCTGATACAGTCCGTAACATAGTCCCTGTCGAGAATCCCTAACACAGTCCCTGATACAGTGCCTAACACAGTCTGTGACACAGTCCCTAACAGAGTGCCTGACAAGTCTGTAACACAGTCCCTAACAGTTTCTCTACAGACAGCTGGTAACTCAACACCACCCACACAAACACTAACAGAGCTGCAGAAACAATATGACAGTATATGTAATGGGATAAACCCAAAGAGAGTTCATACTCCAGAGTTTAGACAATGCTAATCAGCTTCCTAGGATGAAACTGGTCAGTGCAAAGCATTAACTGCTGGCTTGCCTCCAGGGAGAGAGTCACGTCTGACTTGCACTGCTGACAGGTGACAGGCCGGTCACGTGAAAAGACCATGTGCCATCCCCCAGTGTGCTGCAGCTGAGACATATAAAGCCCGCCCACATGCGAGGGTGACGACTTCGCAGAGAGGACGCAGGTAATAAATGCGCAGGTACAAGTGGTGCTCTCACGGCATTCTGTGGTGTCCCCCGGAAACGTGGCTCACAATAGCTGGTTTCACTCCGCATACCGTCTGCGGTTATGCGTCCAGGCTTACAGGCCTGTCATTATTAGAAAGGCATGTCTCTGAGTCACGCCAAGGACAAACCGGCAAACTCTGCGTGAAAAGACACGGCAAAAGAACAGCAGGCAGCCTGTGAGCGGGAGACAGTACCTATAACAAAGCTTCAGAAACAGTGACTAAAGTAGATTTTCAAAACCAGGATACCTCAAAAGCTATCAGGAGATGAAGACTATCACAGACTCTGAGGAAAAGAGGGACTATCACAGCTTATCAGGAAAATAGGGACTATCACAGACTCTTGGGAAAGTAAGGACTATCACAGTCTATCATGGAAATAGGGACTTTCAAAGACTCTCGGGAAAATAAGGACTATCACAGACTCTCAGGAAAAGAAGGACTATCATAGACTATGACGTGACATGAGTACTGCTGCCCATTCATAAAGCTATCAGGGGTTCCATTGTGGTTGCCCAAGGTTCACTGCACCTGACAGAAGTCACATGACACAGCAACCCTGTTCCAGCTTAATGCCACTACACGTCTTTCAGCATACGTTCAATCGTGGCATGCCTGACACATAGCCGCAGCGATGGACGAGCTCGGGGGTGGCTGGTGATACATGACACCTCCGATCGCACCGGCTGTGGATTTTGGCGCCACGACCTATCGCTCATAGCGATGGTAGCCAAGTGCGTTGGGCCAGTTGACATCGGGGGTGGGGAGGGGGGTGGGAGGTTTGTGACAGGATGAGGGTGGGGGTATATGAAGTGGATGGAGTAAAGGTGTCTGACTGGACATTTGTCAACCTGATGGATGAGGAGGTTTGACAGGGCTAGTATAGCCACTGTGTTCATTTTCCCTTGAACTGAAGGGGTTACCCTGGCAACAAGTTCCAGGCTTGTTACTGACATGCGAGCAGAGATTTGGACTGATCTGCGAGAGACTAGTTTTCATTCACCACTCGTTTGGAACAGTAGGATTAGCGGGGAAAGATCATCCTTCCGTGTAGGTGGAGAGGGCTTTGCATATACTGTAATCTGCTCAGAATTGCTAGTCTGATGTTTTTCAGTCTGATTTGTACTGAGAAATTAATGCGTGAGGGTCTTACAGTATGCAGTGGCAGACTCTCTCTGATTGGACGAATTGCCCTGTCCAAAGGTGTCTGATTGGCCTTTGTGGCTTAATTGCGCTACTTGTGCACAATCAGCTGCTTCGATTGACAATGAAAAGACAGAATTTGTAGGTGTGCACAGACGTGCATGTGCATGTCTGAGTGTGATGTATGTTAGCGTCCATATGTGTGTGACAGACATTTCTATTCTGTGTGTATAAACCCTGTGACCCTAACCAGGATAAATGTTTAGATGATGGATATGTACATGACTGTGTGCGTATCGTATACTATGTGTTTTTGTTCCTGTATACAATTAATCACATGCTTTGTATTTGTATTGTATTGTTTCCTAAGGTTTCAGCTTGTAGCCACGGGACAGCTAGTAGGCAGCCTTGGAGGCTGAGAAGGTAAAGCTGGTGTGGCAGGCAGCTGCCCGGCAACGTCTGCATGACTTTCACACCCGAGCAGTCGTGATCAACAGCGTGAGCGTCTCGGGGATAGAAGCCAGCGATGCGTTTGTGTAATGTTGCTGGAGCATTGTGTCAAAGTTGCGGGAAGTCTAGGATGGAGATGCTGCGGTGTGTCTTTCGGTCTTGCGGAAGTTTCTAGAATTTTGAGTTAGTGCCCTGCTTTATATGCTGAAAGCGAAGGAGGGGATATCAAAAGAGTGGAGCATATGTGTGTCGAAATCCCTCCAGGAAGCTCTGCTACAGCGGTTACCCCTGCTTATTAAGGAGTGTGCGTGTTGTGGAACGGTGATCAGCATCAAGATGTTATTTAATAACCCCCAAAGTACTCTTCATTCCCATTGGCCTAGCATACTAATCTCAATATGCCTCCACTCCATAATACTAGGCCTCCCAATTGGTATAGTATACTAGTCCCGTACTACTCCACAATACTAGCAATCCCCATTAGCATATCATATCATTGCCATACAACATGGTCACACTGCTCTACCCCATTAACATAGCGTTCCAATACACCACCACTGCAATAAACAGCATTGCTTCATTCTAGTGCCTGTAATCTCCATACCTGAAGCATATCTTTTTCCATTCAATCATTATTCTAATCAGCTCTCATTATTGTGGTATTTTACTATTTATAGCGTTGTGGTACTCATCTTATATTAGCATTGTGTTAGTGATTAACATTAGGACCTGTGACTTTGGTATGAGGTTATCCTACTAGCAATGCATTCTGAGCATTTTTTCAAGACGGGAAAGCACTCTGCTAGCGCTTTTCCACCAACATGTCTGAAAGTTCGTAAGTTGAAAGGTCGTAAGTAGAGGGGCGTCTGTGTATAGAATATGCCCTTTTTCCTTCAGATAATCCATGCGCAGATACCAGTATCTCCGTGCATTTCGACCGACTATTTGGTGGTGATGCAGCCAGCTTGGCTTGGTCATGCTCTCAGCCTTACTAGCAAGCAGCGCTGTGTCAGTCTGAGTAAGACTGTAAGATACGGATCGCATACTTTACAATGGAAAACTGCCAGTTTGCAGTACGGCTCGGGTACGACTCTGTTCTTGGTGGTAGTGGAAAAGCTCCA